ATTGAAATCATAAGAATGCTATAAGCCTTAGAAGACACATATATGTAAGAAATCTCAAGGAGCTTATAAGCCCAATAAGGTTGTACTTACTCAAAAAGTTTGAGAATCTTGAAAGATAGGAATCTAATAAAAGCTAAATGTTACTAAGCTCCTACTTGAGGCAATACTCCAGTTAAGGGACATTTGATTCAAGACTTCACATTTTTTTATCTCTTATTGGGGGGGGGGGGGGGGGGGGGGGGGGGGGGCAAGTTGTACTGATTCAACTTTCTTATATCAGGCAAATAAAAATGTGACAAACTCATTATCATTGTGTACAAATATCACATCAGCCGATTGAAAAAATACATAAACCAACATGCCGACACACTATCACGAAAGTGCTACAAAAAAGTAATTTATATAGACATAAATTTCTAATCTAATATAATATCCTCCTTAGCATGATCAAAGTCTTTGTGCTCTGATTGATATTAGTCTATTTCTTCCTCAATTCTTCTTGAGTATCCATCTATTCCTGATGTTGCAGGGAGAGAAAAATTGTCATGAAGGATAAGTCACCCTGACACTTTGCTAACTGATTCACCAATGATAACATTTCAATTACATAAGAGATTTTCACATGTTTGTACTTGCCAATGATGTGGTCGATTCTTGCAAGCTCAGTCTTCCACGCCCTCAAAAAATGGGACAACTCTTATTTAAATGGTATAAACACCACCTCCTTAAAATTCTAGTACTTCCACTAATTTTTGGAGGGGATAGGATTATCAAGATATCAGCATCACAATAATGTGAAAAATTTCCTCAAAAAAGCATGACATCAGCACAAGAAATTTCTTCAAAAAAACACAACAACATAACAAAATATCAGCTCCAGAAATCATCATAACGACTGGGACACTGAGAGTTCTCCTTTGAAATACACAGCTAAGAAATTGAAGAATCCCCTTTAGAATGCATGGCTAGGAAACTCTAATAAAGAATAATTCTCTGTAGAATGCACAATACCAAGACTCTAATTTCTTTCAAAAAAATCTCATCTGGAATGCTCAGCAAAGAGATTCCAACTTTTCTCCATGAAGAATCCCCTTTGTAATGTGTGACTTGAAAACTCTATTATTCTCCATGAAGAATCATCTACAAAATGTGCGGTAGGTAGATCCCGATTTTTCTCCATGAAGAATCCTTTATGGAATGCATGACATAGAGATTCCAATTTTTTCATCACAGAAAATCACATTTGAAATGCATTGCTGAGAAACTCCAAATTTTCTTCATGAAGAATCTCCCAAAAAATGCATGGTGGGGAGACTCCAATTTTTCTCAACAAATAATCCCCTTTGAAATGCACGACTATGATATTCCAATGTTTACCCATTAAGAATCCCCCAAAATGGGCGGCCGGAAAACTCTAATTTTTCCTCCCAAAGAATCCCTTTGGAATGCACAGTTCAGAAATTATATTTTTTTTGTAAGAAGAATCCCCTTTCGAATGCACAGTTGGGAGTTTGGGAGACCCTCTCTGTAATACATGGCTATGAGACTAATACTTTTTTATCATTTTGGCCTATTCATAATAATAGGCTTAAAAGTGCTAAAAAAACATCCACAAATGGCCAGAATTTAAGTGTTCCCACAATGGCCCACCAGAACCACACAACTTTGTGTGATCGGACGACAGTTACTTGAAATCCATGCTATTTCACACAACGGATTGCAATGCCAGTGAAATCCCTGCACACGCGCCCGAATCATGTGATATGCACTGCGTATTTAAGACGCACACAACGCAAGGGCATCACGCAACCTAGATCACATACTTGACTGCATATGTCCAGCGCCTACCACCTATGTCATGGCAAAAAACTTTCATTATATACGAAGGGCAAGGGGATCAAACTTGGGTCACGGGAGACAGAAGTAGTCTCATGCCAACTGTACTACAATTTTCTCTTTGAGAGAGAGAGAGAGAGAGAGAGAGAGAGAGAGAGAGAGAGAGAGAGAGAGAGAGAGAGAGAGAGAGAGAGAGAGAGAGAGAGAGAGAGAGAGAGAGAGAGAGAGAGAGAGAGAGAGAGAGAGAGAGAGAGGACAACAAAACTAGTCCCTCTCCAAATAGAGGGGCAACGAATACATAATCAATAAAATTTTTTATTCGACATGAATCTTAAGGCGATTGGCATGGATCTAGAGCATTTCTTAGCAACAAACATTCAAACTCTAATTTAAAATCAATCAGAACTTTGATTTTAACAAACTTACATTCAAACTGACTTGTTTGACGAGATGAACACAATAACACTAAAATTGGTCAAATTTAAGTCAAATCAAGCCCATATCAAATCGTTAAGTCTTTTTTGAAAGATTCTAGTGCTTACTTAGAAGGTCAAAGCATCTCCAAATTTGAAAAACTTATGCTCAAATTGATTTTTTCAACAAGATGAATCAAATAAGCCCAAGGGCACTCAATTCTGACATCTTTAAGACACTCAATTGTCAACAAAATACTGTCCGATCGAGGGACTCTTCGGATTAATTGTTGAAGTGCCCGAATTCATTCCTTACTTGCTGGGAGACCTCTCCCGAACTTTATAAATAGAGTCCTACCCTATACATGAAAATGAGACCTAGACCTTAAACCAAAGCAAGCCTAAATCTTGGAGGAGAAGGAACTAAGTTCTAGTGTTCTACAACGAAGGTTCAACGAATGTCACTTGCTCTTGTAGTTGTCGACCATCGTCGACTAGTGGTTGACAGCCATCATCGAGCATTGTCTGCCGCCCATTTTTCGTCCTCTTACTCGTTGCAACAAAACTGGTTGTGAAATCGCAAAGTGCGCTGCGGAATTTTGGCGTACATTGTAGAGTAACTAATCACTCGACAAAGCATCATGTCATCTCAAACATTATGCACCAACGCACCTCAATGACGGTGTACTAAAATTCCAATAATTGTCCCCAAGTGCAATCAATCAAGGTTGTCGTGCAACAAAGATTGTACCTCGAGGAATTGTGTAGTCCTCTCCCATTCGTTGGACGAGAACCTGCATGTGCACTCACAAATTCAAAGTGGATTGTTCTGATTAGGTTAGTTCCAGTGGTTTTTTTTTTTTTAAATTTCAGGTTTTCCATGCAAAAATTTCAAATGATTCTATCTTTTGTTTTTATTATCTGGGTGTGAGTAAGATTCTTGCACAGCGCTACGACAAAATTCATTACTTTAGCACAATAAATTTTTCGGCACACGAGAATAATATTAACAGAGTCTTTAAGAGAAATCCTTAGATATAATCACAAGTGTTAGACCAAGGGTTGTTTGGGGAACCCTTTTATTTTTTTATTTTTACTTTTATTTTTAAGAGCATATTTTTTATATAACTCTCAAAATAATATTTAGAAGTATTTTTTAAGTGTTATTTAAAACAATCACCACAAACAAATATATTTTATTTCAAAATAATATAAAATTAAATTAAATTAAAATTAAAATTAAAAAAAAAAATATCCCAAGCAACCTCCAAGTCAATAAAAATTACACTGAAAATGCTCAAAACACCAATATCATCTTTACCATGAATGTTAATTTGCATACTTCTCCATTGTGGATCAGGTCATGAACTTATTCCCCACAAATAGCAAAACCCGAATAACTTTATTTGTCTGCCCACTTGTTCCATCAGCGGACCTGAATTATTTCAAAAAGTATGTCATTTTCATGAAGGAATTTCACTAGGGATATAAGAGCAAAAATAATTATCATATTAAACTTTTTGTTATTCTATAATTATGATGAGAATATTCAATATTTATACTGATCAATTAGGTTGTAAATGAATGGCACTTGAGCGAGCTCTAGCTTCGCTCGTGTATGGCTTGTGTTCAAATTAATCATGAACAATGTGTTCGTGTTTAGCTCAATTTACATATTCTTGTTCGTATTCGGCTCGACATTGACTCTTTAAATTAATTAGAAAAAATAGATGTATGATGTTGGATTTGAACTTGCACCAGTTATATAGAATAGAAAGCACAATATCACATAACATAACGAGTTGTTATGATTTAAACTTAGATATCAATATATATAATATATCATTACATAAATAATATATAAAATTTTTTTATTTCAATTTAAAACAAGCCGAAACAATCGAACTAAGGCTTGTTTGATTCTGTTATTTTATAATTCGAGCTTAAAATATTTGTTATTGTTCAGCTCATTTACTTAACGAATAATTTGAACACGAACTATTCCCTAATAATGAGAATAAGTACAATGAGCTTTTTGACAACCCTACTAAGAAGCAGGAGAAGAGAGCAATAAGAGAATCATGGAAGAAAGAATAACATCAATTTATCTATGAGAGCAAAGTATGAAAGAATCCTTTGGTAATTGCTACCCCTAGTGAAGGAATAAATGCTTTTAAATTTATTATACTTTTTTTACTGGACCTGCTCACATTTGTGATGGAAAACCTCACTTTTATTGTATACTACACTCCTATATTTTCATTATATTACTGAAAAAATTAAGCCATTTTTCATATATTATACATTATATTTGAGATTTGATACATCGATAATGTGTGATCCTCACAGTGTAGTAGCCACCCCTTTTATGTTGTTAGCATCACATTGAAGCCTTGTGGCCTTGTTATTTTCTAATGCCTGCCTCAGACCACATGTCACACACACCTTGTCACCTCTTGTATCCTCACTAATGATACCTTATGATATATTTAAGTTTATAACAAGATATACAAAAAAAAAAGTCTAATTCTATAAGATTTTTTAAAAATTATTCAATGGTTATATTTGTCATAATAATCAGTGATTAAGAATATTTCCCAATAAGTAAGTGGAAGGACTGACTTTATTCTAAGTTGCAACTTGTTAAAGTGTGATTACATATGTAAAATTTACACCTTTCTTACAAATCAAATTCTCATTATAAAAGAAAAGCCGTTTCAATTAATTTATTCCTGCTCAAAATCCAACTCTTATAAAATCAACACCATAACTTCTGAAGTTATGGATTTAGAAGCTTTCAATAGAGCTTATAGAAGATTAAAGCCTTACATTTTGATGGTTCTGACACAGATAGGCTATACTATTCTCTACTTCATCACCAAATCTTCTTTCAATCATGGAATGAATCCACATGTTTACGTGACTTACAGACATATTGTGTCTGGTTTCGCCACCTTACCATTTGCCTATTTTATTGAAAGGCAAGATTTTTAGCATTTGATTTTCTTAAGTTTAATAATTATGGACGAGGATGCATTGCTATCAAAAGGGAATTCTATAGTTCCATCATAACTATTTATATTCAAGGCTTTAATTATTCTTCTCTAATGAATTGTATAATTTACTCATAAAAAGCATAACTTTTATATTTTTTGCAGAAAGTTAAGACTAAAGCTGACATTGGCTTTGTTTATAGAGATATTTGTGTTGTCTCTTTTTGGGTAAGCTAGAACAATATCGCATAATTTAACAAAATTATATTTATAAAAGAGTAGATGAGCAAAATGATCCTTATAGTTCATTGCAGTCTCAAACATTTTCTGGTGTTTAATTTGGTCTCTCAACTCATAAAACCAGAGAAAATTTAACCATAGTGTCATCTTTGCCAATGCTTGAGATAGAAATTGGTACATGTAAGTTTTTTGTTTTTATTATTTTGGACATTTTATCATCAATCTTATCAGTTGTGGTCATTATTAAGAAAATAGTTTGATCTTAGAAAAAAAAACGTTTCAATGACGTTATCCCCTACTAACTTAGTCTAAAGAAAAAACTAAACTAATATCAAAACTAAGATAGTTTAGATTTGATGAGTTGAGAAACTAAATTGAACTCCAAAACATATTGAGATTAAAATAAACACACCCAAAAAATATGATACTATTTTAGTCATATACTTATTTGTTAACACATACTAACCCCTTTTCTCATATTAAAACAGAGTAAGCTTAACTCTGAACATGTATTTCACAAGTTTAAGATGCACATCACCAATTTTTCTTGCTTCAATGGTGAATGCAATACCTTCCTTAACATTTCTTATGGCTATTCTATTAAGGTATGGAATCTTTTTTTGGTTCATTGCAACCTTTAATATTTTAGTAGTTGAAACATTGCTTTCTTCTTTTTCATTATCATAGATTTGAGCATGTCAACATCCAGAGTCAAAAGGGATATGCTAAGGTTATTGGGACCTTAGTATGCTTAGCTGGTGCTATAACAATGACATTGTACAAAGGTTCAAAAATAAGAACATTACGGGGTGCTATAATTCATATGCATGAAAATAAAATCAAAGAAAATTGGTTAAAAGGTTCTATTCTTATAGTGGCAAGTTGTATAGCATGGTCAATATGGTATATTATGCAGGTATGAAACTCTAACATGTGATAGGTTTAATGTGAATATTACCTTTCAATAATTGTATTGTAGCTTTAAATAAATTTAGTTGATTTGATGAAGTATTTTAGAAGAATGTTTATTAAGTTCATTGAACCATTTTATATTAAACTTTAATTTTTATCAAATATGCTTCTCAACTTTAATAATTTATGAAAAAATTTTATCAAATAACTTTAATTCATAAGAAAGCATAGGCAGAACAAAACAATGTCAACAAGGCTTCAGACATTAATATTTATTTACAAATTTATTTAAAATAACAATGGACAGAAAAAATTTTAATCACACATTACTTTATAATTTTAAATTAGATGAAATGTGAGTTCAAAGATTTTTTTCTTAATGTGTGACATGATGACCATTAGTTAAAAAGCTTACAGCCTCACAACCATCACTCATAACTTAAAAAAAATGGTTAAGGTTGAACAAATTATGTGGTTGGATAAAACTTTTGCCAAATGTTTTAAAAAAATAGAAGAGTAATTAAATTTTGAGAATATTGAACTAGACCCCATTTATATATAGATCACA